GAGGCCGAGGGCATCGCCACATGAGCCCGGCGCTATGGCGCGCCTCGGGGTGGCGGTGGGCTGAGGGGCTGGGGTCGTGCCGGGCAACCTTGAGAGGGTGAGGAGAGGAGTTGCTTTTCTGTACCACTTTTCTCTCGTTCTCTGCGTCAAGGCCTCTCTGTCCAGGCTGTTCAGCCGCTGCGGGCACGTCCAGTCTGTGGACGTGTGTGACAAGCCAGGGCCCGGGGAAAAAAAAGACAAACCGAAGTCCAAATTCTTCAACTGCCAAACTGTAACGGTAAAGCTCGGTGGGGAGGGGAATGCTGGTGGTTCGAATGGGAAAAGACTGGGAGCACTGAAGGGGGTACTATTTGAAACGTGAGATACGGGAAACCATTTAGGGGCACTGGGTAACATCATTACTTATTTAAGTTTACATTAGCTTTTTTTGCTATCCCACTGCAACTTGAGGTTTGGTTTTTGTTATATTTGTACTGCAGCTGCTTGCAGCGTCACCGGTTTCTGTGGTGTATCCTGACTGGCATAGATGTCTTTTACTTCCAGGGATTTCGAGTGGCGTACGTGGTGTTCAAGAAACCAGCTGGCATCCAGGCAGCCAAGGCTCTGTCACAGGAAGGTCCCTTGCTGATCTCAACAGAGAGTCAGCCCGTGAAAACCGGCATTAGCAGTAAGTCAGCCCTGGCTATCTTCCTGCTAGCTAGTGCTGGGGAAGAACTGTACTTAATCCTGCTTATTCCTTGCTGAATGCCACCTTGCGTGTCCCAGATTAATTCTCACCGTTTTGTACTGAGCTGGAAGGTGTCTAGTGTTTCGTTGCCCTGGTTTTATTATTCACAGTTTTGTTGTAGTGGATGTTGTAGTCTGGTCTTGTGACCATATAGGAGAAGGGAGTCGCTTGGTACAATGGAAGGGCAGTTTTTTCCAACATCTTTTCAGTATTGCATAAATTCAGAGAAACTCTCTGTGTCTTACCCTCAAAATGGAACCCCGACTCAACAATAGGCACCAGATGTGTGTCAAGGTGACAGCACTTCAGATGTGACCCCTTGACAGGAATGCAGCTCTTAGTGTTGCACCTCTTGGGCTTAATGCTAGCCTGCTCCTACTTGGGAAAGTTGCAAGCTCTTCCTATCACTTTCTGGCTGTGGCCTGGGCTGCAAGTTGGTTGAGCTGTGGGGCGGGGAGACTGAACGGGAATGGGAACAGCGTGTCCTTCCCCACAGCAGTTCTCTCTAGAGCTGCCCAAAGGCATCACACCAGGGTTTGATTATAACAGAGGCTACGGCTGACTTCTGCCCTCTTCCTCAGAGTGGATCGCCAGTTATGCGGCCTCAGTTGTGGATCAGGAGGAGCTGAAGGCCGAGGTGGATGCCTACATGCAGGACTATGACAAAAAGATAGAAGAGGTGAGGCCAGGCTGGGGAGGGGACCAGGCTAAGCAGTTTGTTAGAGGAGAGGAAAGGAAGAGAGAGAATCTCTCAGTGCCCTGGCCTCAATTAAAAGGGTGGTGGGAAACATGCTGGTTGGCAGGGTTGTTTTACTCCCAGTTGCTGGTGGGCAGTCAGGTCCTGGTTTGTTCCACAACACCTGACCTTTCCACCCAGGGCTTACAATAGGTATCCACAAATAAATTGGGTCCTGGCTTGTGTGCAGTGTTGTGACTGAGAGTTGAATGCCTGCTCTTGGTTCCACACCTGCCTTCAAATCTTGTGCAGAAGCAGGAGCTGTAGCTTTGCATGTGTTTAAGGGAGGTATGGGGGAGCCATGCATCAGGCTGGCTGTCAGCCTGTCTGCACTGAGCTGTCTCACCCTCCTGTCTTTACAGGAAGAAGCCAAAGCGGCCAAGGAGGAGGGTGTTCCGGATGAGGAGGGCTGGGTGAAGGTAACGCGGAGGGGCCGGAAGCCTGGTCTGCCCCGGACAGAGGCAGCCAGCCTGCGCCTGCTGGAGAAGGAGAAACAGAAAAGGGCCCGCAAAGAGCTGCTTAACTTCTATGCCTGGCAGCATCGTGAGACCAAGAGAGAACGTGAGTGTCTGAGCCTCCTCTGGCCCCTGCCCGTGGCTCCTGTCCCTCACACCATGGTCCTTTGTCCTTCAGTGGAGGGTACATCCAGCTGCAGGTGAACAGCTGGCTGGGTGGTTGTGCGTATAGTCTCGCCAGCTCTTGGGGCTTCTTGCCACCACCTCTTCTAGCAAGTACTGCTGGAATATTTTGTGGGAGAGTGCACAGATCGTGGCTTTCCAGTAGGTGTTTCTTCAGCCTGCACAAAGACAGCAATTCAAAGGGAAAACTAGCCATTTTCTTCCCCAAGAGGGAGCTGCAGCACTACTGGAGAGGAACGCCAGAGCCCCAGCTTGGCACTCAGCCCAGGCACAAAAGGATCTGCTCTGGGAAGTGGGTTTCAGCGAGTGTCAGGACTGAGCCCTTCCCGGTGTGTGGAAGTGAAGCTCCCCAGGGGAGGGAGATCTCCTGCTCCTATGTGACCTGTTCTCTTTCTGCCTCTTTCAGACATTGCCCAGTTGAGGAAGAAATTTGAGGAGGACAAGCAGAGGATCGCACTAATGCGAGCCCAGCGCAAGTTTCGGCCATACTAAGCTGTGCTGAGCTACTCCTCAGGTGCTTGTGCTGGAGAGAGTGGGAGAGATGCCTACGGACTCCGTGTGCCCAAGGATTTCAAGGAACTGAGGCACCTTCAGGTTGTCCCTGCCCTTAGATCTGAAATGGGAGATCCCAGCAACTGTTGCTGGAGGAGGAGTTTCTTTCTCTTGCACTGGAATCCTCCTGCTCTCCTGGCCATCGTTTGGCCCTGTGGCATCGGTTCCCAGGGTGCTCAGGCCAACGGGCTGAGGCCTTTCCTGTGACAACCTATATCTCTCTGCCGCCTCTTCAGGGGCAGGAATGGCTGAAGAACTGTAAACAAACTGCTGCTATGCTCTCAAAACATGGGGATGCCTCTCTCTCCCCTTTGGTCTGCTTGGGGAGAGCTGGAGCTTCCTGTATGCTGGGATGGCAATAAAAGTCATGGCTTGTATGCTTGTGCTCTTTTGCACATTTTATCTGAGCCAGTTAGAAAAGGAGGGAAGTGACCTTTGGAAAAGCCTAGCTGGGAAGTCACAGACCTGTTGTCACAAGGAAGGCGGTTTGGTACAGAGCCCTCTCCCTTCCCTCAATGTTTCCCTTGCAGCCAGCTGCTGAGGTGCCCAGTCTTGTGGCTGTGAGTGGACCCCCGTAGCCATGTCTAGTCTGGGCTATGGGAGCTCCTGATGTTCAGCACCGTCACTAGAACAAGGTGAGCTGGCAGCCTGTCTTTGGAGGGAGCAACCAGACTCTCCAAGGCCTGTTTCCTCTTAACCTGTCATCAGCCCGCAGGAGGGGGATATGGATGGCAACAGGCATGTCCAGCTGTGGGGCAGTGCTTTTGCACTGCCCGCAGAACATTTGTGCGGCTTTGGACTTAATGATGGCTCACCCCCGTGCACTGTGATCAGAAAGGGCCCATTGTTACCCTGCAGCCTCCATACGGGCGTAACCATGAACGTAAGGTGGAAATACCAGGAATTTCCACAGAGCTGGGTTAACATGGATTTACCCTCCCCTGGAAAACCCACTGCCAATGCAGTTTCCATTGCATGGGGAGACTGCCAGGCCTGCTTCCTTCAGCTGGCTTTTTGCATCGATTTAACTAGGAAGCAGATGGATCTTAATGGTGCCTCAACTAAAGCAGACTGCATGTAAAAATCACTGCTTCCAAGATCAGTGTTTTAGCTGCTTGGGCGAGCATCCCAAAAGAAAGGAGGTTCACTCTCCTATAGAGTCAAAAAGACAGGGTTAACATTAGGAAATTAATCTTTATTTAGAAGGACAGAAATAATCTAGGCCAACTTTTCCATTATTAGTAATTTTCCCAGCTGCTTCAGATAGAGGATTAGTGACTCATTCCCTAGGAGTTCATTAAAATGGCCTTCTGTACTCAGGTGAGCTCTTATTTAAGCTGTTTTTAAAAAAAGCTGATTTTTTTTCTACAGGTCTCACAGTAGAAGGGAGATACACTGAGGCCCTTTGAGCTCAGGCATCCATCGAAGTAAGCAGAGAAGCAGAATACTTCCCTGACTGGTCACACCATCCTAAGGGAGGAGGCGAGATGAGCCACCCACCTCTTGCTGAGCTATAGCTGGTGCTGCTGCTCCCACTGAGGATGCCTCTGCCTGTATTCCTGCTTCATTTTGGGGTACAAGCTGGGAGCAAGCAAGGGGAAGGCCACTCTGGGCCTCTATTCCCAAACTTTCAGAGCTGTGAAAGATTAATTTTGCCTTTGACAACTGAGGTACTTTGCTCAGCTCTCCTTCAGGAAGCCCCTGGCAGACCTGCTTCCACCCTGCAGTGAGCCAAGTTTAGGAAAAAGTATAATGAAACTGATATTGGATGTGAGGTAAGAATGGTGACAATTCCTCCAGAGCCTGCTTTTTAGCTCCCTGTTCTCCTGGCCTGCTGCAGCAGTGAGGGCTTCCTAGAGCCTGGCTCTGGTGTTCTGTGCTGTCAGGAAGTTGGTGATGATCCCAGACACCACTTCAGGCGTGTTCAGGTGCACAAAATGACTCCCAGGCACCTCTACTAGCTGGATGTGCTGGAAAGAGGACACAAGAAGATGTGGACTGGGAAAGCATTCCCTCAGACAAGCTGTGGGGTGGGGGTAAGGCAGGACAGGGCTGGAAGAGCTGGGTCCAGAGTGCAGTACTAACCTGGGGCTCTGGCAGCAGAGCCCAAGTTAGCTTCCCCACAGCGTGAGGGCTATGCCGTTCAGGACAAATTGCCTAGTAGGGGGTGCCCACCAGGGTGAGCTGCTGCTCCCAGGTTAGGGGCCCATAGAGTAGAGATGCAAGGATGGAGCTGGCTCTCACCTCTTTGAGGGTAGACTCAAACGCCTCCTGCAGGTCTTTCACAAAGTGATTTCTGCTGTCCAGCTTGGATGGGATCAAGAGTCCATCTTGTGCTCTGAAAAGCAACAGTAAGGCTCAGTACAGCACATAGTGTGTCTCCATTTGTCTTTGCTGCTGTCCTGGGCAGAAGCGTTGTCCCCAGTACAGTGGGGTAACGTTGCCAACTGTTCTTTCCAAGCTGCTCGTAAATAGTGATACATGGCAGTCAGAGGAGCAGCTATTTTCTATCAAACTATCGGTTCAAAATCTTAGGTGATTGCCTGGTAGTATCAGAGTGGAGACTGGTTAGATTTTGGGGCACACACCCCCCACCTCCACCCCAAGGGCTGGCTCTGAATACATCATTCCGTAGCCCTACCATGTCTTCTGCCTTTTTCTTTCCATACAGCTTCTACATCTCCCCTCTGTCCCTTTCCCCCCTCCACGCTGGTGTTTTAAAGGGGTGGAAAGTTATGGGATTGGGAACATGAAGGCAAGAGCAGGGGGAAGACAGGGCAGGACTGGCATTTCCTCAGTCAGCCTTGCACCACAGAGGCCCAGCCTGAAAGCACAGCCCAGCCCAGGCCAGAAGGAGGGTGTTCCAGCTGCTCTCTGCCTGCTCCAGGAGCCTGCCCTACCCAGGGCAGTGGTAGGGAACTGGGACATGCTTGTCACATGTGAGGCTGTGCTGTTGTGCCAACTGGCCCAAAGGTCAGAGTGGCTGCTGCAGAGGAGGGGGTACCTGGGGACTCCTTTCTAACCTTTACTCTCTCCACCCAGGGCTGCAGGGAGGCAGCAAAGGTTGGTTTGGCTTGTGCCTCACTCACACAATGATGAGCACACGGTCCTGGATCTTCTGCAGGAGCTTCACACACTGCTCCGCTGTGAGGGACTCTCGACTCTGCTGCAGGTGCAAAGACAGAGCAGCAAAGGTCAGGGACAGCAGCTGGGGACAGAGGGTGTCCCCAACCCCTGCTGTGCGAGTGGCCGTTAAGGCAGAAGTGGCTGTGGCCCCAAAGCTGCCATGCTGGGACATGACAGGCAGCCAGGCCGCGCACAAGAGTAGCTGGCTCTGCAAAGGCTCCTTCTGTCCAGCTGCATTTCAGGGCTGCCAACAACGCTGCCTGCTGGGATGCAGCACATATGGGAATGATCTCATAGCAGAGAAAAGCTTCAAAAATCTTTTTACTAAAAAGGAGACAGTGCACTGCTCCGGCTTTCATACCCTGGCAGTGACACAGGTAGAGGAGGCCCTCCTTGCTCAAAAGCGGCACAAAGCTATCAAAACATCAAACATGCAGACTTTGCTCCACACTCTCCCTTTCTTATATGGGTGACCTGACAAGCTGACAGAAAGCATCCATCCAGCTGCTGCCTGAAGAGTTATAATGGCAGGAAAATGTGGCCATGAGGCCCTGGGGCAGAGGAACGGCTAGGAAAAAAAAAATCAGTAACATTTTCCAGTGACTCTGTAAGCTGAGTCAGTGTTTGAGGCTCTTTTAACAGCAGCATTTAAAAGAGAGGCAGGAATTAGAGAAGCAGAAAGTAACCAGCTGAGTGGAAGCAGGGAGTGGGCCTCTGCTATGGCTGAGTGTTCTGTAAGCTCAGGGCTCAGAAGCAGCAGGGGGTATGTCAGAAGAGCAATGCTCACCGTACGGACTCTCATGTCTCTGTTATACACCAGCCCTGGAATGAAAAAACAAGAGAAGGTTTCCATGTCTCACAGGAGCTGCTCTGTTTCTCCTCCCCTGTGGGGTCTGCCGAAGATTTTTTTGAGACAGGAGGAATAGGATTAATTCAGATTTCTCCTTTCTTAATTTCTTTTCTTGAGGTGTTCTAGGACTCGAGCACCAACCCCAGTTGCTGGGAATGGAGAGCTCTGCCTCCAGAGTTAATTGCTCCCATTCAGGCTGCATGAAATTGTAGCTAGGGCACCCTGTACCCTGTGGAAAACAATGGCTTTTGGCACCACTCCCGTCCCACACCCAGGCCTGGCCCAGCACTGCGATGAGCCCTGTCTCCATGCAGCCCCTTACCAGCGGGTGTCTCAGTTGCTCCTCGCTGCAGTAGGATTGCCCCACCCTCTGCTGTCAGATGTCTGTTTGCTTCTAAGAGCCTGGGGGAGACATGCAGAGAGATTGTGCTGCTGGAAAAGGGAGGAAGCGAAGCGAAAATGGCATGACAAGGTGACAGCAAGCTCTCAGGCTGCTTCAGAAAAGAGCAGGAAGCAGCAGAAGCAAAAGGTCTTGGTGAGATTCCAGGAGGACGTGAAAGAGGAAGTGCAGAGACAGTTTCCCTTTCTCATTCGCACAGCAGCTGTAACTGTCCAAGGTGAGGGCAGGCAACAGATGAAGAGGACAGATGGGAACCAACCTCTGCAGTGCTGCTTCGGGGCTCCATGCTTTGGGAATTTGCTGCTTTGCCTCTAGACTCAGTAATCTGTCAATCACCAACCGCTTTGATTCCAGCCACGCCTCAGTGTCCTGAAACAAAGAGACATAGGGCACAGGAGTAACCCCCCACTTCTGAATCATTTTACCCCTTATCAAAGGGTAGAGGAGAGCATTTCATCCTTCGACATCCCTCAGAACTCATAGCAGTTATGGACATCATATTAAAAACGTCCATTTCTGGGGAAAATGGAACAGCAGTACTTAAAAGGCAAGGCAGGAACAGAAAGCTAAGCACTGCTGTAAAGAACTTACTAACTTTTTACCTTTGCAATCTCTTCTAGCCCTTCCTACCTCACTTTTGAGTTGAAGACAACTGTCCAAAAGAACAAGGCAAATCTGTTATCTTTTGTCTCTTTGACCCTGGGCCTCTGTCCCACTTCTGCCAGCCAAAGCCCCAGCATCTGGTAGTGATGAGGTCAGGTTGGGAATGTAGCTTTACATCCTGGCAGGAATAGGAAAAGAAATCTACCCAGATCACCGACAAGCTGTTGGCAAAAGGACAACCTCAGCTGGCAGTTGCTTGGACAGAGGTTCCAGTTCCCTTTGTACAAGGGCACGGCACAGACAAGGGAATTTCGGTGCTAAGGGACTGTAGGATGTGGAGCATTACCAAGTGTCCCCCAAGGGCCACCCTACACAGGGACCTCAGTCCATGCAACAAGGAACAGATCTGTGCCTGCCAAAAGGAAGAGCCCTGAGACTTGTGTGATCTGCCAGGAACTGGTCACATCAGTGCTTTCTCTGAATAAATGAGAGAAATAAAAAACCCCAAACCATCTACTTTTTATGTTAAAAAGCGAGGGGAAGGACATGTGAAATCTAACCTCTGGTGCTAGCAGAAAGCCAAGGTTTTCCAGCAGGATCAGCTTGTCCACCATCTCAGGATAAAGGAAACAGAACTGAGGAGAGATGAAACAATATGAGAAAAAAGCTGAGTGTTGAGGGATGTCTTCATCCTGCTGCACTGGAGAGGGAGTCAGGTAAGGGCCTCTCCTCCCCTGTAATCCAAGTCCAACAGACTTCATCCCTTCAATTCCCTCCTATTTGTTGTTCCAGCCACAGAAATCACAAACCCCATGAAGAAAGGATGCTTTACTCACCATTCCTGCCACAGCTCCACCTGCAAAGGAGAGAAAAGTCCTTTGTTATGGCCAGGAGACACACCCCCACCCCCCTGGTAAAAAACTCCCTTCACCCACAGCAGGAGCTGCCTTAGAAGCAGAAATGCATGTAGTACCAAGGAACAAAGCCCCAGCTAGAGCAGTACTCTCCCAGCAGGCAGAGAGCAGGGGTATTGGCCAGCTGGACTCACTGTCCTGTGCCATCCCCATCTCCCTCTCAGGGAGCAAAGGCCAAGGAGGAGTTACTAGTTACACACTACAGCGTGCAGGTTCTGTGAGTTGTAGCCAGCACAGCCCTGGGGAGCAAAACCCAACTTGTGGCAAAACCCAAGCATAAAGGAATAGAGCCTGGATTCTGGTTTCCTTCAGCAAGCTCCATGAACCACCAAGAAGGGCTCTGCTCCCCTCAGACTTTGTGGCCTTGTGGGGACCAGGCAGGAAGGCCTGCTGTGAATTCTCCTACCATAGGCCACCCGTCTTTGCCCATCGCTGTTCCCTCCTGAGGCTGGAGATAGGTCCACAGCAAGAGTTACCACTGCTTGTACTACAGGGTCTTGGAAGCAGAGGCATTTCAAACAAGGACACAGATTTCTGAATCGCTCAAGCAGCAACCTGGTATTTGACACAATATAATAAATATTCCAACCCAGCTCCTAGTGGTGTGTCTTGTAAGTTAATTACCTACTCCTATTTCCATGAATCTCACAGCTTACAAGGACAAGAGCCACTTACCCATACTGTGACCCATCAGGGTGAACCGTCTCCACTGCAAGGCTAAGTGGCAACAGACAAAAACAGACAGAGCTGCATTAGAAACTAAAGCAGCAGCATCTTGAAGCTTCTCCACCAACATGGGCCCCTTCTCCCGGGAGGGCTTTTGCACTGCTTAATTTGCTTCCTAATCCAGAAATGAGGTGGCTAAGTAGAGCAGTTTTAAAGAAAGAGAGCATCCACCACCTCGTTTCCTTAGTAGTTAAGTCACGCAGCTCTCAAGCTCTCTCTATATGGCAAACAAACTACAACAAATTCCCATTCATTGCCAGACACAGGACTGGCAGGAAGGAAAGGAGTCTAACTGGGCAGCATCTGCTGAAGAGAGAGACCTTGACAGAGCATCCTGCTGCAGGGCATTCCACAAAAGCCATGAGACACAGAGCCAGGTCTGCTGCCTTGAGGGAAGTATGATTATCCCAAGTGAAAGCTCTCTGCATCATTTAGCACACCAGGCTCTTCAGTCCATTTTTAGAGCACCCCAAGAGGTTTACGGGAAAATATTGCTTCATCAGTGCTGCATCATCTGAAACACACCCCACTGAAAGATGTGTTTTACCCTCTGGCACCGCTGAAGAACTTCCAGAGGCTCTTTGTATACTGAATGAGGGATGCAAAACTGCATGTGCCACAACCTCCAGCAAGATCAGCATACAGTTGGACAGTTAGATCAGGAGTTATTAGGAGCCCAATACACTTTGGCTGTCAGATTTCTTTGTATGATACTAAACCAAGCGGCCAGCTGCCATCAGGGAGAACCAGAAGAGTCTCCAACTTACACCTAACCCTGGTTAGCGGTCACCGTTTACAAAAAGCCAGTCTGGCAAACCTCTTTAGTTGTATTCACCACTTCGCTACTACTGCTTTTAACATAGAAACACTTGCTTCAGTTCAGGGCTTACTGTTTCTTCCTCTCACAAAATAGTGAGAAAGACACTGCTTATTCAGTCTGTAGTCACAAAGCACCAGCTTACACCAGGCTGGGGAGAAGCAGAGGGAACCAACCAACCCCTCTCCTGGCAGTAAATGCTGCCTGCTTGTTCTCAGGAGCAATGTAGCACCCTCTGCACAAACATCCTCTTGAGGGGCCTTCCAGCTGCCCACCTGCTGCCACCCGGCGCACATCGCTCACATAATCCAGAAAATGGTAGGAGCAGCCTGCAGGTCGGTGGGATGACAAGCCATGGCCAGAAAAATCCATTGCCACATAATAGCAACCTGAAAGGCAGAATGTATCAGATATGCAGCCCTGCAACACAACAAGAACCATCCTGCTGAGCCAGACCTACCTCTGGGGAGCAGTGGAATGAGCCTGTCAAAGGTGTTGGCATTGTCCAGCCAGCCATGCAAGCACAGCACAGGGTGTCCCTCTGAGGATCCCCAGGCCTTAGCTGCCACATGGCCCCAGGGCACAGGAAACTTTACCTCTGAGAACATGCCCAAAATAGAGTGCTCACAAGGTATATCCCTGGAGAGAGCCACGTGCTCTGAGCAGGTCCCAGGGATCTTGTTAATGGCCCAGAGCTCTGAAAAGAGTAATACAGGTCTTTAGTAACTTACCAGCCTCCTGTGGTCTTAATTAGCAGCTTGCTGATTTATAGCTCTCCACTCAACATCCCAAGATGCCATCCCTGCCTGCCTGTTTGGGGAATCCTCCTCCCAGCACGTACTAGCGATGCTCCT